CCCCATTTTGCTTAATATATAGTACTAGCATATCACCCGTGCTATGCACGGGTTATGTTTCACCACTTTGGCCTTTTTTTTTTTCTTTTTTTATACTATATTAAAATTTCATATTTTGATACTAATCATATGTGTTGGACTTTTCAAGGAATTTTTTTCATGCTTGTTCTTAATGTATTAAAATGTTATTATGAGGGATAATAATCATGTGTTGGATTTTTCAAGGAATTCATATGTACTTCACAATTATTTTTATATATGTGAATTGTGATTTTTAAATGTCTTTTTTTTCTCCCATTCTAGGACTCTTGTCCTTTATCCGCTTATCTCGGATTCCGATATCTTCGGAGATTACCTCGGCCTTGCCGAGATAACCTCGGCGTCATGACCTGGACACGTAGCACCTCGGCTGATACGTCGGTATCACATTGGCCACTTGTTAGTACTCAGAAAATATATCCTCACAATAAGTATACTTTCGCATCACTTTTCACATGATCTGATTAGTAACAGAAGATTGCATGAACCTACTGTACAAACCATAGGATGGATTACATTCCCTAAAATTCCCCAAAAGGCCTCAAAAACATAAAACCAGATGAGTGACGCTTTTCGGCCAATGTCGTTCAGTCATTGTTTAAAACTCCATTTCTAAGAACTCGCGCCCCTATAATCAGATATTTCTCTCCTTTGAATTTTATTTATTTTTTTTTTGGAAAATGAGTGAGGGCACTAATTAGTGCTACCACTAATGATGTGGCAGTGGATCCCACCATGAATGATTTGATGTTTTGACCTTAGTGTTGTTTTTTTTTTCTTTTTTTATTGAGTGCCATGTCATTAGTGATCTTTTTAGAGCTCCAAAATTAGTGGTATCTATCATTGTTGTTATTTTTTATGATCTCCTCTCCTTTGAAATTGAGTGCACCATTTTCGCTGCCCGGCCCAAACAGGACTCGTGTGGTAACATGCTTTTTTATTAATTTTTTGATGTTTTTACTAAAATATGATACAAAAAAATTAGTATATTTGAGATAATTTTTTAACTTTTTACGAAAGGATATGCAAAAGGTAGAGAGAAAAAAGAATATTTGACTTTTTGGTATAAGTTGTTGACTTTTTAACTTTTTTAATAATTTTTTGACTTTTTGATTAAAAAAGTCACTTGCCAAACGAGGCCTTAATCTAGGTTTTTTTGACTTGTTTATCATCTTGAGTATATTTTGAATGGTAATTTGAAAAAAAATATACAGTGTTTTGAGAGTAATTATAATCCTAAATAATTTAATAGAGCATATTGAGAAATTAAACGTATTTAATAATTTTTTTAGTACAAATCAGTGTGTTTGGTTTGAGTTTTTTAAATTAAGTTTTTTGAAAACTGAATTTTTTGGTTTTCGTGTTTTTTTGTTTTTAGTAAATATTTTTAAAATTTTAAACATTTTTTTACTTTTTTAGATGCACCTTACTTAGATGTATCTAAAAAGTAAAAAAATTGTGAAAAAATATTTTTAAAAATTAATAAATACATAAAAATATACTGAATTCTCGTATTTTTTTTTTATATTTTTGGTATTTAGTGAATTTTAAAAAAAAAATTCAATTTTTTTACTTTTTAAGTATATTTATGTTAGGTATGCCTAAAAATTAAAAAATTATTCAAAATATTAAAAAAATTCAATAAAATAAAAAAAATAAAAAAATAAAATTTCCTAAAACATATTTTTAAAAAGTGATAACCAATCATAGTGATTCTCGCTCACACGAAGGCATAAATATACATCAAACTCTAATTTTATTTTAAATTTTTTTAATTTGTCTATGATTAACAGCGATAGAATATAGAGGAAGGGACACGTAAGGTCGGTAGGTGAGGCATCGAAGTATCATGGAAACGTGGCTTATGAGAAATGGAGGTGGTGGGACCCAACGTTTGGTTGGATTCCGAGAGAGTGTCGCATGTGACACTTTTGTCTTTTGTTTCCTTTACACGCGTCCCTTCTGCCTACTATACCTCCCTAGCCTACTCCATACCATACCCCTCACATTGTTGTAGAGTTGACCATTCCACCTTCACCACTCACTAGCATTTTTTATTGAAAAAGCTAAAAATAAATAAATTAATTAAATAAAATATTTAAAACTCATAAAAAAGAATTTCATAATTTAATTCATAATAATCATATACACAATTTTGTGGATGTTATATTTCTTATCACATCACTGTTAATAAATTTAGGAGTCTAATTTGTAGGTATGCAACACTACTCATAAATTAATAAATGATTCAAAACAGAATTACTAAAACAACTAAAAAATAAAAACATCAGCTAAAAAATCATTAATCATTCTTGTTAAAAAATATATAAGAAAAATAAAAATAACTCTTATTTTTTAAATGGAATATTCTTTGATTTTTATTAACATTATGGTGAGATGTTTAATTCATGTGTTAATAGAATTAAATAAAAATTTCATTAAAAATATTAAAACCTATTGAATATTTTTTCAAATATATATACATGTATATTATTAAGGTTATTTGACAACTGTTATTCTAGTTACATTTAAAAAAAAATAAAATTAACTTTTAGTAAACTTTTTAAATTTTATTTATTTTTGTATTTTAAATTCTCATATACTTCCCATTAAAAATATATCCATTTAAGTTAGAATACTCTATTTTTTTTGTTTTTTCGACCAAACTATATATACGACAAAGGGTTCAATCTCTGTTATAAGCAAATATTTGTAATTTTTTCATATAACGAGGTCTTTTCTTTAGGCTAATTATTGTTTATTTTTTTTATTATTATGGCTCTTTATAGTTGTTAGATTAAGATTTTTATTTTTATTTTTGTATTTATAGATAATTGTTTACCATTGATAAATAATAATAAAAAATTATGATGCCCTAACTTCTTGGTATTTATTTATTTAGTTAGGGTGGTCTCTCTCTGTCCATATCTCACAAACTGACTGTCAAGATCCTTATGGCTGAAATTTGCTCCTTGCTGGGAAGAAAAACAAAGGATTTATGGGTTGAAAATTACAATCTAAAAATCCAAACCTAGTATTGATGATAAAGCATGTGTTTGTCACGTGATTTGTCCTTCAAAATGAATGAATAATGATTGACATAAAACACCTTGTATTATGTGATTGGAGCCGGCTCACATCTTCCAGGAAAAGTAATCACCAAAAAACATAATTAAATAAGGAAAATATTTAAGTTCTTAAAAAAATTTCAAAATTCTATTCATAATGATATATTATTATAAATGTCAATTTTTAATTTATTATATATTTGATGATTATAAATTTAATTTTTTAATTATATTATTATGAATAAATTTAAGAATTAAATATGTGAATCTATAGTTTATTAATAAATGTATGGGCCAGGTGTCCCCAAATATCTGACCCATTAAACACACATCGAAGGCTAAAGGTGTTCCACGACAACACGGACCTTGTTTGCCATTCATTGGACACTGTAATCAATTGATGGCCCTGGTGAAAAATTTAATAAAATCAGATATAGATGTGAGAAAGAAAAAAAAAATTGTGTTATCTTAATTTTTATATTTTTAATTAATTTAATTTTAAAGTTAATTTTAAATTTTGTATCAAATTAGTTTAATTAATAATCTTGTTAGTATTTTTAACAAAAAATGATTACTGAGTTGATTGAGGTTAACTTTATTGAATTGAACCAACTTATAATTTTGTCTAAAAAAATATGACACATATTGTTTATGTATACATTTTTCATTAAAAAATACTAACAGATGTAATTAATTTAACTAAATTGAGACAAAATCATAATATTAAAATTAAAATCAAGTCAGTTGAAATTATAAAAATTAAAATGTCACAAGAATCAAAATATAGAAATTACTAGCCTAATTTATCCTAAATGTGGCATAAAAAGTTTTACGCATATAAAATTTATATGTAGAAATTATCATTTATTTTATATTTTTGTCTCATTTTATATATTGAACGAGATAAAAATGTAAGATAAAATCCTCTGCTTATCACCCATGAACTAAATAAAGAAACAAAAAGAAGAGACTTTCTACCTGTCCGTATGAAAAAAATTAGATCATAGTTTAGTTGTAAACTCGTGACATATTTTACTTTTTATTTTTTTTTATTTCTATAGGTAGATTATTTATTAAACATTTAAATTAATTCAATAAATATAATTATTTAATTTCATGATTTTTTTTTAAATAGATAACATATTTTTAAAATTATATATACCATTTAAAATATTTTTTATTAGTGCATATATATAGTATTATTGCAAATGAAAGAAAAAATATATATACCAATAGGGGCCAGAGGTGAAGGTGGTATATATGTATCAGCTGGTACGTGATTGAGGCAGCATGATGCTTCACGTTTGTCAGCAAATATAATTATTTAATTTCATGATTTTTTTTTAAAAATAGATAACATATTTTTAAAATTATATATACCATTTAAAATATTTTTTATTAGTGCATATATATAGTATTATTGCAAATGAAAGAAAAAATATATATACCAATAGGGGCCAGAGGTGAAGGTGGTATATATGTATCAGCTGGTATGTGATTGAGGCAGCACGATGCTTCATGTTTGTCAGCAGTAGCTTATAATAGCCCCGTTTGGTATCCCCATTTAGTCCTATAGAATAAAATAAATTATTTTAACTAAATAAGATAAAATATTACATTCAACTCACAATTTTTTCATTTTTTTTCTCAAAAAATCAAAAAAATTAAAAAATCTATCCTAAATAAAACTTTTATTCCCAAATTAAAAAAATTTAAAAATTAAAAAATCAACCTACAGCCAAAATCAACCTACATCCGAAACCAACCCAATACTCGTTTGTTTTTGGGAAGTTGAATGCCACGTGTGACATGTAATTATGTATGGTCACACTCATAGTTTGTAATAATGTGAAAAAAGAAAAATAAGAATGTGGTTCTGTGGAATATAAGCTTTGGAAGGACCTTTCAACTGTTTCCATATGTTTAGGGGGGAGAGAGAGAGAGCGAGAGAGGGAGAGAGAGATGAGGCATGAGGTGAAGGAAGAAGAGCTATTGGAGAAGAAGGAAAAGAATAACAACAACAGCAAGGAAGATGATGAATTCGAGGTACTAAACAGTGGTGAAGTTGAGGTTGTCTCTTCTACCTCCTCCTATTTGTCTCTCTTGACTTCCCAAGATCGTGATTTTCTTCTCTCTCCTACTGGAACTCAGGTTCTCTCTCTCTCTCTCTCCATGTGATTTTTGGCTGAAGATTTTTCATTCTTATTGCTGATTCACAACTTGATCTTTATTAGTCACTTAAGAACATGTATATATTCTCTTAATCAAATCGTATAGTTAAAATTCTATGTTTGAATTATTTAAAATGACAGAAAAAATAAAAAATAAAAATATTAGTTTTTATGAGTAACTAAAAAAATATATAAAAAATACTTTTTAATTTTGTTTCTTTCATTTTTCTTCACTAATTAAATAATAATTAAATTTTACTTTTTGCAGTTCATTTTACAGTTCCTTCTGTTTTTCTTTTTCCTTCGACTTCTTCTTTCTAAAATTGGGTCTTTCAATCATATATATTGTTTATTATTATACAGATCATAATAATAATAATAATAAATTGAATTAAAAATGTCGAGTTGAATATTCTAAATGAAGAAAGAGAGATGATTTTTAGTTGAACAACCAGGACCTTTTTCTTAAAATGAATAGATGATCATGAGAATCCTATTAAAATCAAATTTGAAAAAGAACCAATTTTGATCTCGTCTACAATATTATATATGCTTCACCTTGCCTCTTTTTGTTTTGTTTTGTTTTATTTTTTTTCTGCTTTTGTTGTTGTCGTCGTCGTCTTTTTTTTTTTTTTTTTTTTTTGTTCTTGTTTTTCAATAATGGGTACGAATACTAGAGAACAACGGCATGCATAATCACGTTAGGAATCTTTTTATCTTCTTGGAGTTTTAACTCTTATTATCATCCTTAAAAAGCAAACCAAAAAACTCTTATTATTAGGATGTTGTTTATGATTTTTGGGATCATTTCTATTTACAGTGTGGTCGTCTCATTTCTCATCCAACATTTTTGTTTCTTAGATTCTCACAAAAGATTGGAATGTACTTTGCTTTTAGTATGCAAGTCACTGATTATCATAAGAGTAGATATTTGCACTATGCATAAAATTCCAAGCCTCCGTTTGTTTTCAGAGGTAGGATGGAGAAGATTTATAGTGAGGGGATTAATAGTGAGGGGATTGATAGTGAAAGGATTAAGTAAAATTGTGTTTATTTTGATGATAGTTGTTAGTGTAGGAATTGTTAAATTATTTTTATATAAAATAATAAAACAAATAAAAAAAATATAAAAAATTAAACATTAATATTTTAAAAAAAATTCCCAATATATAAAAAATAAAAAAATAATAAAAAAATTTCTAATCCCCTCACTATTTTTCTAATACCATCGCTACCTCCTCTTTTCCAATCCCCCTTCCAAGGCTTTTACTAATACCAAGGGATTAGGAGTCCCCTCCCCATCGCTCAAAACAAACACCCCATATAGTAGTCTAACCTCACTATCAATCCCAATCCCCTTCCTATAACCCCAAACAAACGGGAAGGGTTTACTTGATTCTATTTTTCATTTTTTTTATATATATTTTATTTTCTTGTATTTTTTGGAAATAAAAACTTAGAAAAACATCCATCATTTTTATGTATATTTTTCATTCTCTTATGTTTTATAGAAAATGAAATATGGTTTCGCATTTTCTTTTGTATAATTACTTCCTTTTTCTTCATTCATATTCTCATTCTTGGTGTTTGATGAAAATAAAAACTGAAAATTTAAAATTAAGTAATAAAAATTGAATGTTAAATTTTTTAAGTCGAAAAGTTATTTGATAACAATTTAAATGCTGAATTAAAATAAATTGTTTAATATGTATAATATTAAATTTAAAATTTATTATTTTTTAATTTTATATTGTGATAATGAATTGATAGTGGTGGCAGAGATAGAGAAGTGGTTTGTGGTGATAGTAGCGAGTTAATGTAGTGGAAATAAAAAGAGAGCGGTAACGGTGGTGTAATGATGGTAGTTATCGTAGTAGTAGAATGATGGTGGTTGTTAGAATTTCCCATCTTTACCTTCACCTACTCCACTACACACTCCACTTCACCTACCTCCACTTCACCACACACTCCACTTCACCTAACCCACTATCACCTCCACTACACCTACTACCACATTTTCTTCTATATATATCACCTCCACTACACCTACTACCACATTTTCTTCTATATATAGATTGTATAGGAATTGTAATTTATCAATATATACTACATCAATACATCAATCAATAATACATCAATTTTAACATGGTATCAAAGCTATAGTTTAAGCTCTTGGTGCTCTTCGCCTTCTGGCGGGCGGCAACATTTTCTTCTATATATATCACCTCCACTACACCTACTACCACATTTTCTTCTATATATAGATTGTATAGGAATTGTAATTTATCAATATATACTACATCAATACATCAATCAATAATACATCAATTTTAACAGTGGTAGTTATGACAATGGTGGCAATGATTGTGGAGGTGAAAGGTTGCAATAGTTGTTGCGATGGTGATAATGATAGTGACGAGTATGGTAGTTGTAATGAAATGTTGGTAATACTTATGGTAACAATGACAATTATAATGAAAACAATAGTCTAGAAGGGTGATGGCGGTAATAGCGGTGGTAGTTGTAAGGTTATGACGGTGTATGTTAATCCTTATGATGCATAAGTATTTATAAATATAGTTAGAATTAAATAAATTTTCTATTATTTAATTTTTCTTTTAGATTTTTAGCCTACATTTTGAGAGTTACTTAAATTTTTACGTGATACTTTTTGTAATTATCAAATAAGTTTAATTGATTTTTACTTTATACATTTAGTTTTAAATGTTAAATTAGGTTATCAAATACGGAAAAATGCTTGAGGCACTTAATTTATCACCTCTAAAAATCACATCTAATGATATGTTTGACAAATATTAAATTTTGATTTATCAAATATTTTATTACGTAGAGTCTAATTTTAATATCACATCATTAGAGATAGTTTAAGAAAGTTAAATTTGAAAAATGTAACATTGCTGTATCAAACACCACATTATTTGTCATGAGTTTTTTGTTTTGTTTTTTGTTCAAATATAGTTACTTTTTAATTTTCTTTTTTTCTTGAAATATATAGTCATGATTTATACACTTTGTCTATTCTTTTGCGGATAATATTATACAAATCAATAAATTTTTACATTTTTAAAAAAAATTTCTCATGTGCACCTATCACATTATTTCTATTTTAAAATTTTAAATTTTTTTTATTATATAACACATCAATAAATGTGAAAAATTTACTAAAATTTGTAAGTTTGTGTAACAATGTGCTTTTTTTTTTTCAAACCCTAATATTGTCTATGGACAAGACAACCAAATCAAACCAAAGGGACAGCTGTCACATAATAATCATTCCTTAAGCCTAATCTTAATGCTAAAGGTACTAAAATGTGACCCCATTCACAGCTATATATGTCTGGATGTGGTATAACATCGCTTTCAAAGTTTTGAATGCTCATATTTGGTCTTTTAGAATCAACTTCAAAACATATTTCCCTCAAATTTTATCAGTTTTAACTTCACACTCATACCATATATAGATGCTTTGAGTTGGGATATAATTTTTAAAAGTAAAATTGTACTTTCATCAATTTAATTTTTATGATCATATCCAGGGATGGTAATACAATATAATCCACCCCGAGTCTAAGCTCGAGGCACCCACAACCGAGCCCTGCAAACTCCAGCCAAATTTTGGGCTGGGTCGGGCCACACATCAAAAATCTAAACTCAAGCCTAGGGATACTAGGGTCATGGGCAGCCGGGCCAGACTTTTTTTTAATTTTTTTCATCAAAATAGCCCGAAAAGACATTGGGCCTCAAGCGAGCCTTGAACTAGGCTGATGGACCAGGCTTTGCGCCGGGCTCACAGTCCAGGTCGGTCTTGAAAACAAAGGGCCCTAGCCCGAGGCCTCGAGTTAGCCTTAGGCTCAGGCCTAGACAAACTGCGGGCAGATTTGAAGTGAGCCGTGGACCGATAGGCTGATTTTACACCTCTATATCTACAGGTCTCTCTCGACTATCCCACATAGGATCTGAATTTTATAAACTTTGGCTATCTTCGATGGCAACAAATTTGGTCTCCCAATAAGAGAAGAAATTTTTTTTATTTATTTAAAAAAATGTACTTAATTGGTTTTCTTAATCTCCCAGGTTAAAGTTTCTGACCTTGAAGGCAAAGTAATTGGTCTTTACTTCTCAGCCAATTGGTACCTACCATGTCAAAACTTCACCCAAGTTTTAGTCAACGCTTACGAGCAACTTAAAATATGTGAATCCAAATTTGAGGTTGTGTTTGTATCATCTGATGAAGACTTGGAAGCCTTCAACAACTATCGTGCAGGCATGCCATGGCTCGCGATTCCATTTTCAGATTTAGAATCAAAGAAAGCATTAAATAGAAGGTTTGACATCGAAGGTATCCCTTGCTTGATCATTTTACAAACTAACGGTCGAAAAGATGATGATGGTATATTACACAATGGAGTTGAGATGATTTATCGATATGGGGTGCAAGCGTTTCCGTTCAGTAAAGAGAGATTGGAAGAGTTGGAGGAGGAGGAAAGGGAGAGACATGAAAGCCAGACATTAATCAATTTACTAACAAACCATGATAGGGACTTCCTCTTGGGTCATCATCCCATGCCTAAACAGGTCAGTCCTTGCCTAACGTAACTATTAAATTTATTGACTGGAATGTCAATTGAGACATTGGTCTTTTCCACTAGAAAAAACACACCCCACTTTCTTCAAAATAAAGGTAATAGCATACATAATCATATTCCTTTCACACTTATTTATTTGTGTCAAGCTAAAGGTTGATATAGTCTGGTACGAAATTAGGAGAAGATTATGGGGGTTATGGCCCTTCTGTTTTTATAAACATTATTGTATCATTTTATATATAAAATGACCATCTTGTATAAAAAAATATATATGTTATTCTTTTTTCATCTTGAATTCTTTTTCTGTTTTACATTAAAAAAAAAAAAAACTTATTCATCCTATTAGATTTTTTTATTAAAAAAAAAAACTTTTATGGTATTTAAATTTTTTTTTATGTATATATAATATATATACATGTGTGTTTTTGTGTATGTAGTAAAAAAAAATTATTTTTCTTTTGACCCTTCTGGTAATGAAATCCTGATTCCGTCCCTAAATGTACTCACTTCTTTTCAAATAAAATCAAACCAAGCTTGTATTTCAATCTAGTCAACTTAGTCACTTGAACATTATTATTTTTTTTTTGTTGTCATTCTGTTCTATTAAGGGTTTAGTATTTAATTAAATTAAATAAATTCATAATTACAGTAATCTCATTTCCCGATGACAAAAAGATTATAGGTGTTAACTTTAGTAGATACAATTTTTTTTTTTATAAAAATGTTTTATATTCTAGTTTTAATTAGTCAAATTTAACATTAATGCCAAATGTACCCCAATCCAGCAGAGAAGCTTATATTCATATGTATGTATACACATGTATGGTATGGATGTGGGCTTCTTCATGTGCAGGTGCCAGTTGGCTCCTTAACTGGTAAAACAGTTGGACTCTATTTCTCAGCCCAATGGTGTCTTCCTGGACTCGACTTCACTCCTAAGCTCATCTCCATCTATCACAACATCAAGCAATCATTGATAAAAGATATAGACGGCGAGGACTTTGAAATAGTATTCGTCTCAAGTGACACAGACCAATCACAATTCGACTTGCATTTCAATACCATGCCATGGCTTGCACTGCCTTTTGGAGACCCAATTACTAAGTACTTGACCAAGTATTTCGATATACAAGGTATCCCTAGTTTGGTAATCTTGGGCCCAGATGGTAAAACCGTTACCAAACACGGGAGGAACCTTATAAACTTGTATAAAGAAAATGCTTACCCTTTTACTGAGGCTAAAGTGGAGTTGCTAGAGAAGAAAATGGATGAGGAGGCTAAGGACCTCCCGAGATCGGAGAAACATATCGGGCACCGCCACGAGCTAACGTTGGTGTCAGAGGGGAGCGGAGGCGGGCCTTTTATTTGTTGTGATTGTGATGAGCAAGGGTCTGGATGGGCTTATCAATGTATTCAATGTGGGTATGAGGTGCACACCAAGTGCGTGAGGCCAGTTGATTAAGGCATGACTGCTGATACTTGACCAACTTTACCAATTGGCCTTGCCACTTCCGTTGATGTAAAATGAAGTAGTTAAAATTGTACCAGTCAGGTGATGAGACTGTTTGTTACTACTGTTGGGGTGTTTATAGCTTATTCTGATTTGGAAGTCTATGCCAGACGTTTGGTGCAGTTTCTGCTTATAATTTATTAGGCAAAAATAACTTAAATAAGCTGAAAAAAGTTAATTATTTAAAAGGTAGGATAGAGATGTTTTAAGTTTTTACTTTCTGATTATCAGGTTTTAACTTAAAAAAAGTTCCGCCAAACAGGCCCCATATATGTTTTGACTTTTGTTAAAATTGGATATATTGGTTTGGTTATGTTAATATATATATATATATATATATTAATTGGACAATCCTATACTCAATTGTTGAGATTCTTTTGCAAAAATAGTAGAGATCCTAAAAATTGTATCAAAAATTTTATTAAATATCTTACATGGGTGTGGGATCCATATAAGACTCATATTGTATGGGTATCATATTTATGTGAAATATTTGATAAAAATTTAAATAGAATTTTTGGACTTTTAGCATTACTCGTTTTTTTGATAGTTAATAATTTTTTTTTTATTTTTTTTATTTTTGTGAACAAAATAATTCAAATTAAGGGCACATAGAAGCCACAATTAATGTTGTTTAGGTTTACGACGCGATTAAATTGGGAAGAGTGTAATTAATCAATCCAGGAATCCATTTTAAGCCCAGCCCATTGTCCTAGAAGGTTTTATCCCCAAAGTCAGCTAGACTCAATGTTGGGCCTAGGCCTGGACCAAGCTTCAACGACCTTGATCACTGCCTTATTCGGACAATCTTTAATAAAATGAATGAGTTTTAAATAAATTTAATTAACTGTTATAAGTATATCACATCAAATAATATATAAAATATGATAAGTTACAAATTACTCAAAATTATTGGATTTTTTTTTAAAAAAAATCCAAAAATTAGTAGATATTTGTTAATGGTAAGTGTGGCACCATCTTATAAAAATTGTGTCATCGGCAAGTAAAAAATTATAAATGTGATTTAGTGGGCACTTATCTTTCATTAATTAAACATATAATTCTATTATAATAACCTTAATTTTTTTTTATTAAGGGTATATTACACTCAACTATAAAAGAAATTGAAGAAAATATAGTAAGTCATATTGTTTTGGTATAATTATACTGATTTTCCTCTTGGTGAGGTTAACGAAACCTAAACTAATGTAAAAAAATGACTTCAAGATATAAAGGTAAAATGTACATTTTACTAAAAAAGTGATGACAATACTATTTTTCTGTTTATATGATTAACAAATTATTGATAAATATAAAATCAAGTATTATATGAATTAAAATATTAAAAGTGTCTAATATTTTCTTAGATACTAAATTTATGAAATTTATTGTATTTTCTCTAACCTTATAAAAATAGGGTATATATTATCTTTTATTAATTACTAATACTAATACTATCATATGATATTGTTGAGGACAATAAATATATTTGGGGTTGATTGCGACTTTAGAGAGCATCAGGCCGAAAAAATAACATCTCACTCACGGGAGTCATGCGGGTGGCTGGTAGAAGTTTCGTCTCACTTTCGTCTCTGTTTTTTTGTAATAAATATAAGTCTAGACATATATAATTAATCGTATATAAAAGAATTTTAGTCGTATAGTCTTAAATAGTAAAATTTGCAATAGAAAAAACTTTTATTCAAATCATTTTATTTATATTTTATATTTTGTGTGATTGGTTCTTAAATTTGTTATATATACAAAAACTTATTGTTATTTTATTTCTTTCTTCTATCTTGTAATAATCCTTTCAAAGGGGTGTTTGGTGGAGATTATTTTAAGGGCTCTTTTGAGAAGTAACCCATTTTAGATTGCATTATTTCTCACATTTTTTATATATTTTTAAAAAAAATCAAAAAATTAATTTTTAACCATCTTTTCAAAATAATTCTAAATAAAAAATTAAGATTCAAAAAGCAGTAACTAAAACACTCCTCACTCAACTTTTGAAATATTAATTTTTTTCAACTTTAGTTAAACTATTTTAACCTAATAAATTATAACCAAATAGTCTGTCAAAAACTCACATATAAAAATAAGTTATAAGTTATTTCTAGTCCCACCAAACACTCAAAAGTTGAATACTCTTTCATTTTTTTTTTATAATCAATTTATCAATTGATAGTTAAATAAAAAACAAAATTCGAAGCTTCGTTTTTTTTATTTTTTGGAGGGTGAAGCTGTGATTATATTATTTTTTTAAAAAGAAAAATAAGAGCAAGTATTAGTCAACTTGTTTGGTTTTAGTTTTTAGAAAATAGTTTTCAAAAAAAATTATTTTTTTATTTTTCATATTTTAATATTTTCAATGAATTTTTTTAATATTTTAATAATTTTTTTTTTAATTTTTAGACACACCTAATATAAATACACTTAAAAAATATAATATTTATGAAAAAAACCTTTAAAAACTTCACTAAATACCAAAAAATACCAAAAAAAAAAAAAACAAAACGAAAAGTTAGTACTCTTTTTATATTTTTTTAAAATATTTTTCACAAATATTTTTTTATTTGAATACATCTAAATAAGATGAATTTAAAAAAGTAAAAAAATTACTTAAAATTTTAAAAATATCTACTAAAAATAAAAAATTTAATTTTTAAAAAATTAAATTGAAAAAATTGAAATTTAAATAAATATCCGTTTTTAGCCGACTGTCTCTCTCTCCGTATCTCACAATATGTGTCCCTCGTCATATCATAACTTGTTTATCATTTTGTTCATTAATCTTCGGAACTCCGTTGCATACCCCCAGTTAGGGTCGCGCCCCCAGTGACGTGGCGCGTCCCTACTGACTGAAAACTTAAAAGAAAAATAATAATAATTTTTTTTTGAGCCAATCCCTCAGTGACACCTCACTGGGGTCGACCACCAGTGGGGTAGGAAGCATTTTTGTTAATCTTCGAACCTTTTACGCATATTCCTTTTTCCGTTTTCTTTTCAAGTTTGATGAATATAGAAAATCCAACATTCTCCGACTCACTCAATCGAATTCTGTTAAGCTCTCGTAAGTTTCTTTCCCATGACTTTTCTCGGAAAAATTTTGTCGTGTAGTTGATTAATTTTCCTGTTTAATTTATGTCTTGATTTCTTACTACGGCGTTGTTGTTATTGTTTTTTTTTTTCCCTCACATTTCTCAGCAACCAAACGGAGCGTAATTAAAAAATTGAACAATTTTGAGAAGGCAATGAAGTTCAGCAAGTTATAGTCGAAGAGCGTTACTTGGAACAGTTTACTGACTACTTGCGAAGTGTAGTTTATCTGTTAATTGCAAAATTCTCCACTTTAGTTGTTGAATTGATTCTTATGTGTTCATATTAAGCAATCTCTTGACATTGTTTGATGTACTGATCATAGTTTGAAGATGGGAGTTACAGAAAACAGTTCTGACATGGAGGAAACGCTAATAGGAATGGGTAAGTGATCTTCTAGTGCTCCAAACATTTAGCATATTGAAATTTAAAGTCACAGTTAAAAATTTTATTGTTTGTTTACTTTTCTCAGATGAATACTCAGATATTATTAGCAAGTAGATATCTTAGAGAATTCATCTATGACCCCCTGTGATTCATTTTGTGTGGGGATTGGATTAGCCCTTGTCTTTGCATTGTGGCAGGGTTTAGATTTATTAACTTACCTCTGAATACCGAAAGATATTTTTAAGAATTTTGTGATTCGAGGAAGTGTGAGAATAGATTATAGTGGAAAAAGTAGTTGATTTTGACAAAAAATAGCTTATATTATCATTACGGAAGTAATCTAAAGTTTTCAGATCATTAGTTATTTTCAGAAAAAATTGTAAATCAATTCAAAAGGATTTATCTTGCAAGCTTCGAAGAAGTTGAAAGTCCCTGGATGTTTTTTGTAATTATGGTAAGATTTGGCTGGTTTAACTAGTTTGATGAACAGTGGTTGGTGCTTGATGTATTTTCAGTAAGAACTTAATATACACACATTGTTGACGAGATGCTGCACCTATGGAAATATCATGGCATGTTTGCTTCTAATACATCCCCTCATTCACAATGCTTTCAATCGTGACGTGAAAAACAGACGGAACCTGTAGGAGATTTTGAATCAGTTGTGGCTATAGTGCTTAATGTACTTTGTCAAATTATAGGCAGTATTGGAGCAATTTCAAGGTCTAGGAGTACGAATTCAATTAGCTTGCAGTTTTCTATCATTTATAGGAGTGGTATTCAAGTGCATATTTGTTAAGTCATATTGGGCATTGCAGTGATTTTATATGATCTGAGGCAACTACGCTAAATTACATTGCGGTTCAAAATCATTTTGTGAAACATAAAGGACACTTTTATATTTGTATATGTGCAAAATACTACCATGTTTTTCTTTTTTATTTGTTCTCTATTACATCATCGAACTGTTTACGACTTGGTGCTTGATCACGATAAGGATAATGTTGATTTGGAGCTTTTCAAATTGCAGAGTACAGAACAGTCTCTGGTGTTGCAGGGCCCCTTGTTATTCTTGACAAAGTAAAGGTGTGTTAACTCTATTTATCCATGTAATAATTTTCTCTTTATTTTTCTTTTTCCCCACATCTCAGGATAATATTGTTTTTTCATGGGCTGGTATCATACTCTCTTGGAATGTTAAGGGTCCTAAATACCAGGAGATTGTCAATATTCGCCTAGGAGATGGAACAACCCGACGTGGTCAAGTCTTGGAAATTGATGGGGAGAAAGCTGTTGTGCAGGTTATATCACATACAAATTACAATTGTAGAGCTGCCTTTAATATTCACTAATAGTTAGTCCACAATGAATAATTTTGGAGTAACGCTATGGACCCCAATTTTCTTTTCCTAGACTCACTCCATGCACTCATTTTTTTAGTTTTTTTCGTTCTCTCAGGTATTTGAAGGAACATCTGGAATTGACAACAAATACACAACTGTGCAATTTACCAGGGAGGTATAATTTTTTTTTTTAATTTAGCTAGAGCATACAGAAAAAAATAATACTAACAATAAAAATTCTCAGTCTCTTCAAATTGTTATTGTGCAGGTTTTGAAAACTCCAGTCTCAATGGATATGCTTGGACGCATCTTTAATGGTTCTGGAAAGCCCATAGATAATGGACCTCCAATCTTGCCTGAGGCTTTCCTAGATATTTCTGGTGAGTCGTGATTTTTAAAATAAAGGATATCTCTTGACATTATGCTTTATGTCTTTCTTTTTTTAAAACATGAATACATGATTAATTCCTTTTATCTGTTTAGGAAGCTCCATTAACCCTAGTGAGAGAACCTATCCCGAAGAGATGATACAAACGGGGATTTCAACAATTGATGTTATGAATTCCATTGCTCGTGGACAGAAGATCCCTCTCTTTTCTGCTGCTGGTCTTCCTCATAATGAAATAGCTGCTCAGATCTGCCGTCAGGCTGGTCTTGTTAAACGGTTGGAAAAGTCAGACAATCTCATGGAGGTACAGTTCACATACCAATCCCACTGAAACATATACTTTATGAGTTCAATAAGATTTTGAAGTATATTGTGCTCTTCTGGAATTTTTCGTAGTTAATATTGTTAGAGAAATAAGACGTTCGCTGAGCCCAAAAAAAAAAGAGAAATAAGACGTTCGTTTGATCTTTTTTCTTTTTTTGTGGTGGAAGTTAATGTTCTTGGATATGGAAAAAATCTATTGTTAATGCAATAAAGAATTTTGAATCAAGTTTGTTCTGTGTGGTTCAAGATGATAACGTCCTATTGGCTTCTCCAGTTTTGTTCTTTTTCGGTTTTTCTTTTTCAAGTTTCTCCATATTTTTTTGACGTGTCATATGCAATTCTCTAATTCTGTGCCATGTCTTAATAGGATAAAGAAGAGGACAACTTTGCCATTGTGTTTGCTGCTATGGGTGTAAACATGGAGACGGCTCAATTTTTTAAGCGAGATTTTGAGGAGAATGGATCGATGGAGAGAGTGACCCTGTTCCTAAATCTGGTATCTTTCCATACACTACTAGCTGAATCTTCTGCTGCTATATTTATAATTTTGTGGTGCCATTTTGTTTTTGTTTTTTTTTTCTTTCTTGTCTTTTCTATTGCTATATTTATAATTTGTTTTTTTTAAATGGAGTTCAGGCCAATGACCCCACCATTGAGCGCATTATTACTCCTCGAATTGCCCTCACGACTGCTGAATACCTAGCATACGAATGTGGGAAGCATGTCCTAGTCATACTTACAGATATGAGCTCTTATGCTGATGCTCTTCGTGAGGTATTTGAAGGTTTATGGCATACATACACATTTAATAGCAAAAGTGAACATGAATTTAATAAAATTTGTTGTGTTTTGTAATGACCTTAATATGTTCAACTTTGACATGATTGACCATAGTCGAAGCATGATATCTGAAAACAGACAATTACCTCATCAGGTATCTGCTGCCCGAGAGGAAGTGCCTGGAAGGCGTGGGTATCCTGGGTACATGTATACTGATCTGGCAACAATTTATGAGCGTGCTGGACGTATTGAAGGAAGGAAGGGCTCGATCACACAAATTCCTATATTAACTATGCCTAATGATGGTATCACTGTGCCTGTTGATCTTTCTTGCTTGGTTTGTAATGATCAAGGATCTGATATTTATTACTTTTTTTCTATAAACCACAGATATCACGCATCCTACTCCAGATCTCACAGGTTATATTACTGAGGGGCAGATATACATTGATAGGCAGCTCCACAATCGGCAGGTGAGATGAGAGAATGATCTCAAGGGCATCTTATGCATCTTCTAATATGATCAATAAACTGTTTTTTGGGAAAGTTTTCTGAAAACAGTCCCTTTTTAGGAAACACTTTTAAGTTGTTTTCTGAATGTTAGAAACTAATTTTGCACAATAACAAAAAATGATATGAAAGAGATGGGTATTTTTGAACTTTTAATTGTGTTTGTTTTAGAAAAGATGAAAACTGAAGACACAAATAAAATGATAACAGGCCTGAATAAATGGCATTGGACACCAATCAGTGCAAGAATTATTTGTGACGCAGTTTGGGTTCCAGTTATTTCTGAGCAAAATGGCCTCCATCTTTCAATAATATATAGTTTTATTATCAATTTCTGTGGATTTTGATTGTGACAAGAACTTATTTAACAGATGTATTACCCTTGAGATGTTTCATTTTCTTTTCCTAGAAATTCAGCTTTATCTACTTTGTTTTCGATAATTTTTCGATTCTGTAAGCTTTTTATCCATAGTGCCCATTATAAAGGCAATGGGTATTCATTTCATATATATATATATATATTTTTTTTTTTAATTATTTTTTTATTTTATTTTATTGGACAGATATATCCACCTATCAACGTACTCCCATCACTTTCTCGTTTAATGAAGGTAAGCTATTAAAAGAGGTCTTGGGTCGGACTCCAGCAATGATATTATAACCTTGTTTGGGAACTCAAGTTTGAGGTTAAAATAGTCTCAAACACTAAAAAAGTCAAATAGTCTCAAATAGTACCCTAAACTAATGATTTATATTTTAAAAAAAACAGCTCGGCAGTGGCAGCCTACATTATCATGTTGACAGTGCACTTATAGCCTACCACTGTCACATTGGCAGGCTATCCCACAAGTAATAAATGACAATTTTGCCCAAATTTTGAAAAAAGTGAGATTAGGGACAAATTTGTTATTTTAGCTTCAAACATCATTTCAAATACATTTTTCAATACAACAATCAACCAAAAAATTCAACCCAACTTCCCAAACATAGAAAACTAAAATAGCCTACTAAAATAGTCAAATAGTCAAACAGCCAAAAAGTCAAAAAAGTAACCACTTCCCGAACAAGGCCTATGATATACCTGAGGAGGAAAAAGAAAAGAAAAGCAAATATGATGAACTCACTATCTCCTTTTTGTCTTTTGGTAGAGTGCTATTGGTGAGGGAATGACTCGTCGAGACCATGCTGATGTCTCTAACCAGGTCTGGATTGGAAATTGCGTTGATTAAAGCTTCATTTACTGTTCTGCTTCGTTTTGTCCTAATTAACAGTCTTGATTTCCATCTTTAGTTATATGCAAATTATGCCATTGGAAAGGATGTTCAGGCAATGAAAGCCGTGGTTGGAGAATAAGCACTTTCTTCTGAGGATCTGGTTTGTCTGTCTCGCTCTATGTGTGTGTGTATGTGCACGCGAGCTCGCGTTTTTGAGTGAACCATATTTCTTAATTAATTGCTTATATGAGGAAATAATGAGGCTTCTCTGTTTTTTGTTTGTTTGTTTTTGTTTTCTTGCAAAATTTAGCTTTATTTGGAGTTCCTAGACAAATTTGAAAGGAAATTTGTTTCCCAAGGGGCATACGACACTCGGAACATTTTTCAGTCACTTGATTTGGCTTGGACACTGCTTCACATCTTCCCCCGTGAGCTTCTCCACCGTATACCAGCAAAGACACTAGACCAGTACTATAGTCGCGATGCAACAAACTCAGATAGAACGTGATCTCACATATCTTTCATTTGAATTTAACAGTTCACTACTGAGCGGCCATGTTGTTTGGCTGCATGAATCACTAGAATAAGTGTCCATGTATAGTAGGAAACATCTTTTTCTCTTATTTGTATGTCTGTGAAGATCCCTTGATTTGGTAGCGATTTAACTTTTCGTAACAAATGTAATTTAGACTTATATTTGGCATTGCCTGGTATATCCTTGTAATAAGTTGTACAAATGGCATTGTCTTTGAAATAAGTGTTAGGAACAAATGAGATTTATTCCAACTTTTCAAATGTGTGTTATTTCTATGGTGTACAAAAATACAAACTGTTTTGTGCTGATTTGTTTTGTTTTTTGGGGTGAATTGTGGTTATCTCTCTAAAGTTTAAAAACAATGCAATAAAATTTCACATTTTTTGAAGTGGGATAAAATTAACTAAGCCTTGGTGTTCGGCCCAAAGCCGGACCTGCACCAGTGGGGGAGTTAGGGGCTCGGCCCGATGACCAAACACTTGCTCTCAATCAAGGCAATCAAGGTAGCTTGGCCCAATCCAAAACAGACCGAGCAATATGTTAAACCTCCTGGTTAGACAACCACTCGAAAGTAGACCAACTTAAAAAAGGTCACTTCACGGAAGATCTTTCTTGGACTCACAAAAGACAAACAACTCTGCTCCTCTCTATCTGTTTCAACAAAACGTGGAGACATGAAGGTGCAGAGGGACAAGGCGCACATGTGACTGACCTGCATATGATATCAGGTGGAGTAGTCGTTCTCCTCCAATGAGAGACGACCACTAATGAGACAAACAAGACAGACCTGCATCCGAGTGTCAGGCGGAGTGGCCATTCTCCTCAAATGGGAGACGACCACGAATAAGACACATTGGATAAATGGCGGAGAGAGAAGGTCTTGGAGAACAAGTAACCTTCTCCTATAAAAGGTAAGCACTATTCACTCTCAAGGGATCCGAAATCCACACACTTAACATATAAGCATTCTTTGAATTCTCTCTTCTTCCTCTCCCTAAGTCCCTGACTTTACCATCGGAGGGGTTTCCAACCAAACCCCAGTCGAGCAGCCTCACCGTTTTTTACTCTGTGCAGATCTTCAATTCTCGGAGCACGCTGTTCTTCCACGAAGTTCAACCCTTCTTCATAGTGCGGAAATCAGCCCCGCACAATTGGCACCGTCTGTGGAAATACCACTAATTGCATCGTAATGAACTCCGGCGATGGGAATCAAAGATACACCTCATTCTGGCCTAGCAGAGAGGACTAATGATAGAAAGAACCAAAGCTAAGGGTCTGGCATTCCCCTCAGCGCACAATGACCCTATGGACCACGACGATCAGGCACCCAACGTAGCGGAATGACGTCGTGTCGTTGCTGTCGAGTCATCTCAGCGTCTTTTTGTTGAGAGAGACCACCGTGATCACATTATCGACTCAATGGGTTTGGAGATCATTGAGCTTCGCACCCAATTGATGAAGTTCATGACGACCCCCATGGAGCCAAGAAAGTCTGTTGGAGGACCGTCGCAAAGGTGACATACTTCTCCTCCTCCACCGCCTCACAAGGAGCACTCCAACTGTGGCCCTGCTAGTAGAGAGCGTAGCCGGCCGATTTCGGTACATAGTGAAGGGGCCAGCAGTAGGATGAATAACCTCCAAAAAAATAACCCACGAGAGAATTCTCATAGAAGGCAAAGGACTGTCAACCGCCTATTTGAAACCTTTCATTGCCATCGCGATGAGCGGCCGCACGATTTGAGAAATTGGCAGAACGATAACAAAAAAGAGGCACGACGGCTACGTAGGGAAGAAAAACGGCGATGAGATAGGGAGGAGGAACGTCGGCTCGACAGGAAAAAGGACCAGTTGGATCGGTTTATACATCAACAAGAACGTTGCGCTTTAGACCGGTTGGTGTCTACCAACTTCTCCCTAGAGATAGAAGCTGTAGAATCTCTATGGAAGTATAGCCTGCCAAAATTCATTCTCTATGACGGCAAGACGAACCCTCTGACCCATATTAGCCATTACTGCTAAATGATGTCCCTCTGGAATCGCAACAATGCGCTCATGTGCAAAGTCTTTTCTTCTAGCCTTGGAGTTCTTGGCCTTCGATGGTTTGACAAACTCCTCAGTGGTTCGATTTATGACTGGATGCAGCTCTCTGAGGCTTTCTCAGCCTGATTTGTCTCCAACAGTAGAGTCCCAAAGCAGTTGGATATCTTGTTCAATATCTAAAAGGACAAGAAAAAGACCCTGCACCAGTACGCGTGACGATATTGGGAGGAATATGGCGACTTGAAGGAAAATATTTGCAGTGAACAATTGGTCGTGCTATACTTCAAGCAAGGCCTACCTCCTTCGCACAAGCTAAGGCAGTCATTAACGAAACGACCTGCCCCTACCATGAAGGATTTGAGGGCCCAAATATAGCAACAAGCTCGTGTGGAAAATGATGCTGCTTCAGTACATGTTGCAATCACTGAAGAAGAAGTTAGACCGCCTCGACCACCTAGGACTGAGTAGCCAAAGAGGGATGAGCAGCACAAGAACTATGGCCAATAGAACCGCACTATAGTGGAAAACGAAGAGGAAAGGGCCAAGTCTTATGAAGGCATCACTACCGTCTTCAAAGAGCCAATATATAGGCTCGTCGAGAAACTTAAAGGGGAAGCCTTCTTTGTCTGGCCCACTAAGATGCCTAGAGGCCCTGCTCGGCGCAATCAGACACTGCATTGCACCTATCATCGAGAGAAGAGACACAAGACGCAAAATTACAGAGCTCTTAAACAACACTTAGAGGACTTAGTTACGGCGAGCCATCCCCAACAATGGATAGACGTTGATAAGACGAGGGAAAAGCAAAGACAAGACCAAGCCCCTCCTGAAGAGAACCATGCCTGTGACAACCCCACCACGTACAATGATTAGCACTTAATTAATTCAAGAGATTTGAATTTGAATTGCCAATTATTTTAATTTAGTTTGGGGTTTATAAGAATTATTTAGCCTGAGTTGTATATGATTCTATTGAGGATTTATTTTGGAATTAGAAATTGAAAGCCTAAATGGCTCAAGAGAGTATAATTGGTAAATTGAATTATTTTAATTTCGAGTATCGGACCATAAAAGAGTTTAATTAAATATTTGATTCAGATTTGTAAAATTGAGATTTGATTAATCGGGTCCGAATTTGAGTTAATTAAGTTATGAGAATTAAGAATTAAGGTTACTATGAATTAAATTTATTTATGAAGTATTCAATTGAGGTATTTAATGGAGCATGTAATTTATTGGCGAAGATTTTGAAGTTTAATCTAAAATTGAAGGCCTAAATGATTTAAGAAACCAACATTGAGGATGAAAATAAGTTTAATTTGATATTTAGAATCTTTTGGGAGTTTGATTAAAAATCTGATTCAAAATGATAAATTAAATAAAATTAATTGGGCCTTAATGGAAGTCAAATTAGACCGATTAAATTATGTGGGATTTATGATTAATTATAATTAATTTAATGATGTGCTAATTGAGATTTATTAAGACTAAGTGTTGCTTAATTAAATAAATCCTAAACATAAATTGAATTATGGAAGAATCTAGAATTAAGAGTGTATATGGGTGGGTGTGCTGAGAAATTTATGTAGGTGTACTGAGAAATCTGGTTATATTCTGTGTGTGCACGTGTACAAGGAGTTGAAAGTGTGTGTATGTATGTTATGCTAACTTTATAAAGAAGAGAGTTGAACTCAATTTGGAGAGCAAACTTTTGCTGGAGAAGCTTTAGAGAGAGAGAGAGAGAGAGAGAGAGAGAGGGGAGAGGGAGAGAGAAGTTGTGCTGGAAGCTAACTCTAGAAAAAAAGGGGAGATCAAAATTGAAGATAAATGGAAGAATCTCAAGCTTTGTCAAGAGGCTCAACAAAATAAAGACCTTTGGTAAGAAAGTTTAAGCTTAAATTCTTGTAGATTAAGCATCTAACAATTAAAATCAAGTAGTAACTGGGTTTAATTTCTTGAGATTAGAAGGAAATTAAGGAAGTAATGAAGGAAAATTTGGGTTAAGATTGATAATTAAGATATTGGTAATGTAATTTGTTATTGAGTTAGATTTTCTTGTCATCCTTCATAATTTGAAGTCTAACCTTACATGCATGGTGGATTTCCAAGATTTTAGACTTTAATTCATGTTTTAAAGGTTTATAAGCTTTGTAAACTAAAAACACAGAATATGCAGCGGAATAAAATGTTTAGATCATACCTCATTTGATCTAAAACCTCGTGGATAGATCACGTGCTTCCAGAATCTAATCAATCAATCCCAGCAGTGGGGTGATATTACAATGGTGAATATCACCCACACAAACCACAGTGCAAATGACTTGATCGTTGTTTCTTGGGAGAGAGTAAGTTTATGGGTAGAAACAAAACCCTACGTTGTTTCTCTCTCTAGGTTACCCATAACCATATATCAGATATATATTATATTATTATTATTTATCCATATCAGTTAAAACTGATAATATCTATATCCTGAGTGGTTATCCTAAATAGGTTTGAATTTAATTCAAAACCTATTTGGATAAGATCCAAATTATGTTCAAATGGTCATGCCACATGGGCGCCCATTACTAACATGATGATTCGCTGTGAAGCTGAGTGTAAGGATTTTCAGCTCCAGTTCCATATCATTTCCAGTACACACTTCTCTGCAGTCCACCAAACACAACATACAAGCAGACTAAGAAAAGAGAAAGAGAAAGAGAAAGAGAGGCAAAACCAGATTAGGGTTTGTAGTGACTCTGAAACTCCGAGCTCAGAACTGTTGAGTAACATCCAGTGCTGCTGATCCTCTTCAGGAGGCTCCAGTTCTACTTCGTAGTTTGTTTATACTGCAAAAATCGAATGACGATCCTCTCTGTCATCTCTCGCTTTTAACTCCCTATTTGCTCGGACTCACTTTTGAGGTGTAATTTTGATGTTCTCAATCGTTTATATTTTAATATTTGTTAAAATATATTATATTTATAAATAATTAAATTAATTAGATATTAAAAAGTATATGTTTGAAAAATTATTTATTAAATTTTTCAAAAAATCAAACCTTTAAAAGATGAAATCGTTCATATTTTAATATTTATTGCTAATATTAAAATTTTTAATATTTGTTGAGTGTATTATACTTGTAAAAAATAAAACTGTTTATATGTACCTATTAGTATACTAATTAGTGTATCAATTGATGATGTGATATAATTTAAGATTTTTTTAATATTTGTAATTTGTATAATGAGTGCGATCAAT